GCAGTGCCCCCCAGCCCTGCAGTGCCCCCCAGCCCTGCAGTGCCCCCGGTCAGTCTGGCCAAGACAGCCTACCACTGCCAAGCCTCGGTTTCCTACCCACCACTCAACTCATTGTTCCCAGCATTGTGGGTGTGCAGCATAGACCTGGATCTCCCTTCTCCTTCAAGGCTTTAGGTCCACCAACACATGGCCCTCTCAGCAGGTACAAGATTTTGCCACACGCTTGCTAAGGGGCCTTGTGTTGGTTGAAGGCCTTGGAAGACCCCTGGACCTGAGGCACTGGTTCTGGTCTCCTTGTTTGTAGGAAGGGCCCAAGTGGTCTGTGGCAGTCTGCGGTAGGGCTGCTCCACTCTACACTAGTTCTGAGCTCCCGTCTTGCATCCCACCTCCCTTATGCCATCCAGGACTGAAGTTCACTGATATTGATAGGAAATAGGAAGTACACCTTTCCCTCTCCTGCTAGAGATGAGCCATGGCCTGGGTGTTGTCCTGGCCCTGGTAGGATATGAAATGGATGCTTGTGGTCTTATAGGACAATGGACCACACTGCAGGGAGCAGTGACATAGCCAGAGCTGTCAGGAAAATACTCTGCCAGCACAGGTCGACCCGGGTGTGAGCGTGCAGGGAGGGGCAGGCAAGGACACCGAAAATGACAGGCAGCAATGGGCAGAAGATAGGGAATGATGTTAGGAAGTTAGGTGTCCAGCAGGCTAGGGCATGACGTGCTGTGAGAGCCGGCTTCCGAGAAGGCAGAGGCCCAGCGACTGGATGATGCTGTGTCATTAAAGCAGAAATCATCTTTAAGCTTCATTGGCCAAGCTCTGAGATGGAAAGAGGATCGAAGAAACCAATCAGGGCCTGAGGTGCCCAGCCAGGGCAAGGCTAGTCCAGGTGTGGCAGGAGGATCAGACCAGCTGCCTCGGCCTTAGAAAACGCAGAGCCAAGAGCAGTGTTGAAGTAGGAAGATTTGACCGTGTTAGAGACAAGCCAAAAACTGCTCCTTTCTCCCTGTACACGTGCACATGCACATACACCCCTTGGCCAGGCTGTGCCTCCAGGCGAGGCTGTGCATAAGTGTCAAACACCTTGTCTGTGCCTCATCCTATGCTGTCCCTGCAGAGCCTTGCAGGAAGCCCTGTAGAGGAGGGTCTATAGCCGCAGCAGCAACAGCAGCAGCAGCAGGCTTAGGTCCGCTGGGGGCATCTCAAGAGGTGTCTTTAGCCCAGGCCTTGAAGGCTGGCAGGACAAGGTGGGGCCAGCCTCTCGGGTGCTCGGAGCTGCCCTTGGCATGTCAGCTGACGCCCCACAGACTCTCATCTTCCCTGGGTCCCTTCTGGACATCACTTCCCAGGATCTCTCTAACAATGGGCTTGGCTTCCAGGTTCCAGCGTGTGTCCGGATCAGAGTGTCTGGTGGCCGGCCTCCTGCCTGTCTTTTTTCCCAGGCTGTGTATTTATAGTGCCATTCCGCCACTCTCTGTCTGATCCTTCTAGGGATCAGCCGCAAACAGACTTTGGCATTGGGCGGCTTTGCAGTCATTTAATGCAAATCGCTGCCCTGCTTTGCAGGTCAGGCTTTAATGATCTGGAATCGATCCAAGCTAAGTGGCTTTTGATCTTGCTGCAGAGTGAAGATGCCCCACAGAAGCTGGGTGCCGCTGGGCCACATGCTCCTGATTAGAGCTGATGGCTTGATTCTCACTGTATTTTTAGGCCCTTTCAGAGGGTTTTTTTTTTCCACCTCTTCTCTGTTTGAATGTGTCTTTTCCCCCCTCCTAGGTAATTTTGAGTGCGGCAATCCAGAGAAGCTAAAAAGCAAATGCATTCCTGTTCTGGAGGCTCAGGAATACATAGCTGTGAGTAGGCTGACTGCTGCTCCCTGCAAGGCTGCAGCTTCCTATTTTTTCCTTCCCTTGTTGTTTTGTATTTGCTTTGCTGCTCTTGGTTTTCTTTCTTTTAGAATTAGTGGATCATTGGGTCACCATGGAGGGGACTGTGCCCCAGGGCTAGTCTTTCTGAGTGTGAGCAGGTGGTGTGGTCCAGTGGTGTGGTCCAACCTGAGGCCTCTTCACCAGCTGAATGGCCATGGCAGGCAGCCCCTTCTTCATAGGACCTCAAAGGGTCCTCAGGCCTGCCCCTTGGGAGGCACACCTGCCCTGTCCTCTGTGACTCCTTTTGGCTGCTCAGCTTCCATTTGCCCTTCTTTGTGCCTCTGTGTGGTAGAATTATATAGCTTCAGGGTTAGTAGGGTCTGAAGGGCAGTGTAGTTTAATTTCACCTCATGGGTAAGGAAACCGAAGTCTGTAGAGGGCCAGGGAGTTTCGAGGTTGCATAGCTGGGACCGGCCTCCAACCCTGGTGCTATTTTGTCCCCCCCCCCCCACTCCTCTGGTGCCGGCTGTGCCTGCTCACTGACTGCTGCTTCAGCCTTTGCTTAATGCCTTCCTTGCCGCCTCAGACCTGCGTTGTTTGCCCGCTGTGCTGTGCATCATCCTCTTGGCCTTCTTCACCCCAGCTTCCTTCCCTGCCTGTTTTCTGTGCATGAGCATGTGGGGGGCACAGGAGACGGCTTTGCAATCCAGCCTCAGAATCATGTCCTGGCAGCCGCATCTGAGGCAGAACTAACCCCCATCTTCCACCCCACAGAATGTGACCAGCAGCCCCTCTGCAAAGTTTGAGGCCGCGCTGACCTGGATACTGAGCAGCAACAAGGACGTGGGCATCTGGTGAGTGTAGGCTGAGCTGCCACTGTCCTCCCCTTGTGCAGACTTCTTCACGTACGCAAGGCCTGGAGCGAGACAGCAGAGTGCAGGCCCAGTGCTCCAGACTAGGGAACAGCACCGCTCAGTCCAGATGTTGGGTTCTGAGCCTGCTAATTCGTCTGCCAGTCCTTCCTCTAGTAGCTGCCGCCTACCAGCTCACCGAGGAAGGAGATTGTCTGTGCCTTGCTCTCACTCAGTATGGAGATGCCTTGGGAAGTGCTGACTTCTCTTCTGACCAGGCAGTTTCCCTGAGTTTCCATTGCTAGCCAGCACTATTAGCAAAGGTAGTGGTGGAGAAGGAGCCCCCAGCCTGTGCCAAGCAGCTCTGGAGATGCCTGCCCTGCAAAGGCGCGGGACCACACGGTCTCCTCCATAGCTCTTTGTCAGAATCTCTTTTCTGGTTCCAGCTCCCGATATTAACACACACTCTAGGGTTTTGTTCTCTTTTTCTCTAATCCACCCAAATTACTAATTCCATCACACTGCATCCACACAGCCCCTTGGCGGCTCGGCCTAAAGCTCGGTAACTGGATGCGTGGCACGATTAAGATCCAATGGCTTAAAAGCAGCTGCCCTGAGCGGCTGAGCGATTTTCCTGTGTTGAGAAAGGCAGAAGAGAATACGGATTTTCCCCTCCACAGCACGCACTGGAGCCGCCAACACAGAAGAATGATGACACTTGCCTTTTCCTGCTGGGGAAGGCAGCTGGAGGGTGGCTGAGCAAGCTCAGACAGCCATGTTGAAGATGGGGCATCACGTAGCAGTCATTCCAGAGAGAGCATGGGGTGGGCATCGGTGTCCCTGCAGATCCTCACATGTCTCACCAACCATTGGGCTCGAAGCAGGTGGCAGGGTCTGGTGGATCCCAGTTGCCATGGGCCTCACGGGTGCCCTCATCTTTACACTTAACAGCTTTCGCGCCTGCTCCTCACAGAGAAAAGGCGCAGCTGCCCAGGTTCTGTCTTTCAGTTCTTTCCACGCTCCTGCAAAGCCAGGGATTCAGTAAAACATTTCCGTTTCTCTGTGCTGGAAGGTGGGGTCCAATTTACAGCTTAATCTTCTGCATGCTGAGGGAGGCTGCCAAAGACTCGGCAGAGGGGGACGCCTCGTCAGTGGCTGGGATTCAAGCTTGCTGCCATCTTTAAAGCTGCTACTTCCTAAGTAGCCAGTGTGGGGCTTGCAGGAAGGAGCACAGCCAGGCCCAGCAGGCTACTCTGAGCAAGGGAGGCCCCAGCCCTCCATGGTGGCCTCGCCTGCAGGCTAAAGTGAGGTCAAGCCAGCATGTTTACTGCCATGACTTGTTTCAGGCTGAAAGGGGAAGACCCGTCTGAGCTGGTGACGACTGTGGACAAAGTGGTCTGCCTGGAGTCTGCCCGGCCCCGAATGGGTGTCGGCTGCCGCCTGAGCCGTGCCCTGCTCACCGCTGTCACCCACGTGCTCATCTTCTTCTGGTGTAAGTCCTCGCTGCCTGCCATGCTCTCCTGTCCCTTCCCATCGTGCCTCTTGCCAGTAGCCCAGCTCAGTGGCTGCCTGGGCATGAAGAACGAGTCAGACACCGAAGGGTCATTCCCCTCATGCTCCCGGGAGCTAGCTAATAAAGCAGGAGCTGAATGGAACAGCCTCATGGCTAGATCTGTAGCATAGCTAGAAATGTCCTTGCATAGGGAAGGGAACCAGCAGCCTCCTGAGAGGAGTGGGCCCTGTGGGAGTCGGCCTCTGCTGCTTCCAGTGGCCCAGGCAGGTTCCCAGTGCTCAGACCAGCTCCATGCAGGAGGTGGCGTGGGACCTTGGCCTGACTGTACTGCAGAACATGGCAAACATCTACAGAGGTGAAAGCAGAGCGGATACAGACTGCAGGAGAAAGGGGAGCCTGGCTTGTCTCCTTCCAGCGATATCTGGGGTCTCTAAAAGGAACAGCTGGGGCACGGAGATCATAGACTGTCTTGTGCAGTGCCACCCCTGGGCCAGGTCCGGGCTTGTCACCAGCTGCAGCCTCTCAGAATACAGGCCTGGCATGTATGTTGCATGTATGTTTGTATGCAGCAAAGGCTCTAGCCCGTGAGGGAGAAGATAATGTGAGTTCGGGATGGGCTGAGATCTGGGTACCTGGGACCCTCAGGTGACAGCCGCTGGAGAAAGATCGTCACTTTGTAGCCTGTCTTTGCTCAGGAGGTGATGGTGTTCCATTGTGTTCCAGGCCTGGCCTTCCTGTGGGGCCTCCTAATCCTCCTGAAATACCGATGGCGGAAGCTAGAGGAGGAGGAGCAGGCCATGTACGAGATGGTGAAGAAGATTATAGGTGCGTGTCCCCTGGCAGAAGGGTGCCCGCGCCTGCCAGGCTGCTGCTGACCACTTCCCTCTCTCCCGTAGATGTGGTCCAGGACCACTATGTGGACTGGGAGCAGGACATGGAGCGCTACCCATATGTGGGCATCCTCCACGTGCGAGACACCCTCATCCCCCCACAGAGTCGGTGAGTCCTGCTGCTGGGGGAGGCCCACTGAGACCCATGGCAGGGTTCCATGTGACTAGCCTCCTGGGAATTACTGCCTGCCCCTGTGCCTGTTTGACTCGGAGTGGCAGAGGAGCTAAGCAGGAGGACGAAGGGCATCAGCCGCTCCTCTGCAGACTGTGCCAGTTGGGCTCTAGCCAACATGCCGAGGCTGAGTCCTAGTCCCCTCGGTGGTTCCAGCTGCAGGGTCTCCTGTTCCTGTGAGTCCCTCCTGGATGCTGTCTGCATACCTCATGTTTGCAAGGTGGTGGCCACCAGCAGCCACAGCAGTGTCTGCCTTGTCCCAGCTGACAGGAGCAGTGGACTTCAGGCACTGTCTTCCAAGCAAAAGCAAACTTCCCATCAGCCTTTGGGCACACCCCTTTTGTGGTTCCCTGGGCCAGCGTCAGTTTGTCTCTCAGTTGGTCACTGGCCAGGGGACAGAGGGAGCTTTTCGGGCTCTGTGACCATGACCACGAAATTGTACACCTGCAGCCCCCTCCCCCCCCAGTGTCAGCATAGACTGCAGCCTGTCAGAGTAGACTAGGTTGTTCTCTAGCTGACTGTCACCTGCCCTATGTCCCCTGTGCTCGTGTGGCCTCCGCACACACACTCTCTCTCCTGGTGATAAGAGAGGGTTGCACGGAAGGGAGGGGAAGCCCAGGCTTTGGGAAGTGAAAGGACTTACTCGAGATGGCTGTGGTAGCGTTCTGTGTGCTCCCACCAGGTCTTGTCACCTGTGTGTCGCCCTTCTGTGCAGCCAGGGGGTTGGAAGAGAAGAGCATTGGCAGGTCTGGGAGTTTTGTTTTGTTTTTTAACAAACAAAATCTTGAACTTCAAGATTGAAGTTCAAACAATCTTGAACAAAAGATTGAACAAAATCTCACTTCAGCCCAGGCAGGCCTTGAACTGATAGTCATCGTGCGGTCGCTTCCTCAGTGTGGTGTGACCAGCGGTCACTGTGCCCTACTTATGAGCCATTTTAAACTGGTGCTGCTACTGGGTTTAATGGCAGCATGATTTTCTGGTGAGCAGAAGTCCTGGCTGCTCTCCAGCAACATGCATGCATCTGGCAGGGAGTCCCTGTCCACAGGGGGCCACTGCTGCTCCTATGGTCAGCTATGGGTCTTCAGGTGACACGGCTCTCTAGCACAGGGGAGCTAGACTCCTGCCTAATCCCAGGCCCTGCCGGGAGTTGTGCAGCCAGCCTGTCTAAGCCTCATTCTCGTACAATGGGATTCCGCAGCCTTGCAGAAGGCTCCCCTGTAGCTGTCCACCCCCACGCATTGGTCACTTGCTGTGCACTGTGGAAGACCCAAAGTCTACACCCTGGTGGCGCATTAGAGAAGGAAGCATAGGAAACCATGTGACACTGGGCAGTTCCGGGTCCTTGGAAAGGGAACAGGTGTGGAGGAGGTGGCCCTGAAGTCTGCCACGCTGGTTCCAGACTAAGCAGCACTGGAGAATCACTGTGATAAGACTGGCGAGAGCTGACCTGGCACTCCCTGCAGGTCACCCAGACATCACAGGCTTGCTCAGCGCACAGCTGACCATAGGGGTCTGAGCGCTACCAGGAGTCTCACCACCGCAGTACGACACATCTCCCGGGCAACCTGTCTGCCAGGATAAGGGCACATCTAGAGGACTGGTGGAGATGTGAGGAGCTGGCTGGGAGCTGGTCAGTCCCTTCCTGTGGATGAGGCACTGCATCCTTAGGGACCTGGCGTGAAGGTTGGCGTCTTCATCCTTCAAGCTTTTTCTTTTGAGTGTGTAGCATTGACCTGCCAAAGGCAGAGGCGGTCTGACTCCCTCCATTGTCCTCTCGCTGGAGGCCCTGCCCCCACACTCAGACCTGCGGCGGCTCTTTCCCCACACAGTGCGGACAGTGGCCTTGGTACCACTGGGGCCGTAAAGGGAAGATATGACACTCATATACACCCCATCCTGGAACCTCTTTGTTGGTAAGGGGAATCCACAGAGCAGGAAGTGGCCCCTGGTTCTAACTCCCGAAGAGAGGTGTCTCCTTACTCAGAGGCATCACTCAGCCTTCCCCTGCAGTGCCAGGACTGGACGGCTCTGATAGCCAGCATGCTGGACTTGGGTGCAGCCTCCACAGTGCAGGTTGGCTGGTGAGCGAGGCACAGCCCCCACGTGGACCTGGGTGCCCACCACTGCCAGCTCCTTCAGGCCCCTGAGCTAAAGTTTATGGAGTTGTTAGTGTACCATTCTGCTCTACAGCTGAGTTGGTGCCTGGCACGTCCATTGCTGGATAAGTGCAGCAGAGCCTAGAAACAAACACCCTTCTGTGGGACAGGTAGGTGGTGCCAGCCTGGTGCCTGCTGAGCTCTACCCTCCTGTTGCAGGCGGCGCATGAAGCGTGTGTGGGACCGTGCTGTGGAATTCCTGGCTTCCAACGAATCGCGAATCCAGACCGAGTCCCACCGTGTGGCGGGGGAGGACATGCTGGTGTGGAGATGGACTAAACCTTCCTCCTTCTCTGACTCAGAGCGATAGGACAGGGCCTGCTCCAGCCAGCCTGGCCTGGCCACCCAGCTAGGGCAAGGGCACAGACAGACCTTTGGTGCTCATTCACTCCTGCCTTGATTGCTCTCCTGGTCTCAGTTCTGGGACGTGTGGGCTTCCTTAGGGTAGCAGGGAGAGCGGGGTGAGGCTCCTCTATGCCAGTCTTCCTGACAGAAAGGGGAGAAGGGCTGGCTCTCCCTGGATGGAAGGGCAGGGCAGTGGTTGGAACCCGGGAGGTTCCCAGAAAGCTAGACAGCAACCCCGCGCTTGGGAGGTGGGTCGGGTGGTGGGCTGGGGCAGCAGAGGAGCGGGGGCACTTGGCCTGCGTGCCTTTGCAGTGTTTCCAGGGAGCTTGAGGGTGAGGGAGGAGTCCTGTCCTGCTGCTGCATGGGCCTCTTTGTCCGAAAGGGGAAGATGCTAGCCGGTGAACCAGCTGTAGGGACAGAATAGAGGTGGCCAGGATCGGGAAAGGGTGGAGGGTCCAGCCCCAGCTGCCTGGGCCTCAGCGCTTCTTCAGAAGAGAAGTCAGCCCTGAACCAGGGCGGAGCCTCAGCCTCCTGCAGGCTCACCACCTTATTTTACTGTGACAACTCCTCTCCTGGCTGTTGAACTGGAACAGCACAGGTAGGGTGCGGCATTGTGGCTGCACACTGCCCCCTTCAGGCTACATGGAGCAGCGTGGACCATTAGCCTGCTGTGCAGTAGAGGGCCTGCTCCGAAACACCCAATGGGGGGCCTCATTAGCTGAGAGGTAGACTCCAGCAACTCATCCAGCTAGCCTCACCCACATCCCAGGAGGGTGGCGGGTGGGTGTGAGGCATGCCTGCCTCCAAAGGCACAAACGCCCGCTCTCAGACCTGTCACCGTTCTCTGTTTCTTAATAAAGCACCATCTCCATTTGGCAATATCTCATTTGCTTGTGTCTGGGTGATCAGCACAACTGGGGTCTGAGCAGGGGCCTGTGGCAAGGCCTGTTTTCCTGTTCAGGCTCCAGCTAGAAGAAGCTTTTGTATTGGGGTGGAACTATTGGAAGAATAAAATATTTATTGAAAATGGATGTGGTTTTGTTCATAATGCTTCCCCTTTCTCCCCAAAGCAATGCTGAGTAATGAGAGGGCTGACCAGGCCGTGCTGCCTTGGCAATGGGCTTCAGATAACGTCGCATGAAGCGGCATGAGCCCCCATCCTGCAAGGTTCCCGGGAGTGCTGAACAGCCCCAGAGGGAAAAGCCAACAGAGCCGGCATGCTCCAGAAGGAGGTATATCCAGGCCTGGACATTAGTAATGGGCTGGTGGGCACAGAGTTGGCAGCAGGGTGCTTCTAGGAGACTATGGCTATGCTACAGGTATTCATCTCCCCCAGGTCCCCAAAGCTAGTGGTTCAAATACAGGGTGGCCTAGCTATGGTCTGTGGGTACAGCCCGTCTGCCTGGCCGTCTTCTGTCTCTGGCATCTTTTGTCTGAGCTAACGCATTGCTCTATGGCTTGGAAGCTGCTGGGAGTGCAGAAGTCACAGCAACATAAAAGGAAACAAAAGGCCACAGAGCCGGCGGCACTCACAGCAGCCTACCTCTCAGAGCACAGCAGTCTCCCGAGACAGAGGTGGGGGCTGAGGGTGTCCCAGCGATAAAGCTGTGACGTAGCAGGGTTTTTTGTTTTGTTTTGCTTGAGACCGGGTTTCTGGTAGCCCAGGTTGACCTTGAACGTCTCATCTTCCTCCTCTTCATCCCAAGTGCTGGGATTACAGGTGCACGCCACCATGCTGGGTTACAGCAGTGCTGGGATTACAGTTGCACACTACCACTCTGGGTTACAGTAGTGCTGGGATTACAGGTGCACACCACGCTGGGTTACCATAGGGCTGGGATTACAGGAGCACCCCACCACGCTGGGTTACCGTAGGGCTGGGATTACAGGTGCACACCACCATGCTGGGTTACCATAGGGCTGGGATTACAGGTGCACCCCACCATGCTGGGTTACCGTAGGGCTGGGATTACAGGTGCACCCCACCATGCTGGGTTACCATAGGGCTGGGATTACAGGTGCACACCACGCTGGGTTACCGTAAGGCTGGGATTACAGGTGCACACCACGCTGGGTTACCGTAGGGCTGGGATTACAGGTGCACACCACGCTGGGTTACCATAGGGCTGGGGTTGCAGGTGCACCCTACCACACTGGTTTACTGTAGTGCTGGGATTGACAGAAGAGATTTGTGGGTGTCAGACCAGCATTCTATCAGCTTCACTGCATTCCTAGCCCTGGGGGTTTCAATAACTCTGTCCTCAGCATCCCAGGCTGCTGACCCCGCTGTCCTTAGAGATGAACAGCCCTCCTGGGGATGTGTGCATCACTAAAGGAGCCTCAGGATGAGGGACACTACCCCACAAACCGCAGCAGGGCCATCCACCCGGGAGCTCTGAGCTGCTTTCCAGAGGCTGCTCTCTACTCATGAGGAAGCTAAACACAGCCATTTGTCACTGATTCATCCTAAGACTTGGGTAGCAGCTGTTCCCTTTAGTTAATACACTATTGACTTTGAGCTCAAAATTCCCCACGCTGAGGTTCACATGGAGGCTCAAATCCATTATCCTGTCAGCCTCTCCTAAACAGAAGGGACAGGAGGGGAGATGTCACCCAATTGTCCCAAAAAGTTCTCCTTGGGACACCAGGCAGCTTCTTCAACCATGTCCCCAGGAGCGGGTCCCTAGGATGCAGGAGGGACAGTAGAGGCAGAAGACTGAGTGGGTGTGGTTTCGCTGTACCACGTTTCCCCAGAGGCTGTTGCCATCTGTGGTCTGATGGGGAAAGCATGGGGCCAGCAGCCACAGAACACCATGTCCTGCTGTGGCTGGGGACCTTGGCCAGCCTCTGCAAAGGGAGGTGATATGTCTCTCCCAGACGCATTGCCTGGACCCCAGCGACCAACTCCTGCGTCTTTGCACCCACTGCTCACCTGCTCTCCGTCCCCCAGACCCCGGTGGAATTCACCCCCTCCTTCAGGCTTGCTCCCGGTCACCTTCACTATCTGTTGCATCTGTATCCCTATGCCTCTCGTCTTCCAGGATTTTCCTCTACCCTAATATCTGACTTGCTACATATTTTAAAAATTATTTTTAATTTTGTGTGTTGTGTGGGCATGTGCTTGTGACTATGGGTACAGGTGGTCACAACCTGGGTGCCGGGAGCCAAGCTTAGGTCCTCTGAAGGAGTCTGTGTACTTACCCACTGAGCCATCTCTCCAACCCCTGGGGCTTATTACAAGTTTTACCTCGTGTATCTGCCAGCACTGCACCAGTCTCCGCTTCTCATGGCCATGCGCATCTTTGATCCTTTCCCTGAAGTGTGCCCAAGACCTTAGCACCTGGTGCAAGAGACACTCCATAAATATTCACTAAACAAACAGACATCTCCATCCCAGAAGACCTGGGCACTGGGCCTCTCAGGTCTAAATCCTTCCAGCTTCTGTTCAGATTGACTTGATTTTGTTTTTTATTTTTCCTTTTAACCTGAGGGATTCAGTCCCTTCCTTTTACCTAACGAGATCCTAGCACTGCTCACTGCTTTGCAGAGGGGCCGCCCTCCCTCCCAGCCGGCTCCTGAGGATGGCATGACCATCTCCTGGCTGCAAGGCCAGGAGCAGACTTGTGCACGGCTTTTCAAGGGGAATGTGGGTAGGGCATTGAACTGAGAGTGTGTGTAGGAACCCAAGCATGGGTGGCCACTCCATAAATCAGGAGAGCGATGTCCACTGAGTGCCCCAGGCCAGGTTGCCCCAGGCTGGGCAGATGAGCAAGACCAGTCTCCAGTAAGGAAAGAGGAACTGAGGAGCGGAATGACAGACAGACTGAGAAACAAGGTCAGGAGATGCATTGCTGGTGATGGCTTGCAAGCTGCTTCTGCCTCATAAGGAGACAGGGGAAAGTACAGTAATTTTCTTCGATGAAAACAGGCAACAGAATTCCCTTTGCCTCGTTCCCCTGGCAATTAAGTCCTTCTCTGCAAATGAAATGATTTGGTTTTCGTGGGGACTAATTTAAGCACACTGGAAGGGCCGCTGGACTTTTTGATTGCAAATACTAGTGTATGCAAACAGAACTGGCATTGGAGCCAGCCCATCAAGGGAGTCCCCCGCCTCGGAGCCAGTAGCCTTGGCAGTGGTCCTGATCTCCGGAGCTCCTTTGTGGGGCTGACCCTCAACCCTTTGCCAGTCCCATTTCCTCATCCCAAATGGAGGAGGCCAAGCCAGCTCACATGGCAATCTTGGAAGCCTATGACACTCAGCATGGTGACCACTGCAGACCTCACCCTTGGTCACTCCTACATTTCTGAGACGGACTCCCTTCTCTGCCTTGAACCTGGGCCCTGAACTCATGACTTTGATCAGTGTAATATGTCCAGAAGGACACTGGTTGGTCCCCACCTAAGGCCTGAAGAGCCCTTGTCTCTTTAGTATGTTCCCTCAGGAGCCTGACCCCTACAGAAAGAACATTTACCTTCTAGAAGAGAGCTGAGGGCAGAGCTACCAATCCCCATTCCAGCTGTCCCAGCTGACACACAGGTGTGTGTGCCAGGCCACTTCTGTGTGAACAGATGAGCCAACCTGGAAGGCTGGGCCTAGGAATGGAGCCACCTGGAGATGACTGGGTTCGTCTTTAAGCCTCTCAGTGGCCTATCACCATTGTTACTACTTTTCAATTTGAAGTAATTGAAGACTGCCGAGGGGCGGGGGCGGGAGTGGGGGTGGGGCCTGGATGAAGCTCAGTTGGTAAAGGTCATGCCTAAACCAGGCATGATGCTGCACACTGGTAGTTACTGCCTTTAGGAGGGCAAGAGAGGAGGATCAGAAGAAGTTCAAGGTCATCCTTGATTAGCGACTTTGAGGTTGACCTGGGCTGTATGAGACCTTGTAAGGTGATGCCGAAACACCTTCCCAGCGGGAGATGAGAGCAGTGAGCTGGAGCTCCTTCTCCAAAGTTCCAGTGATAAACCAAGGCACAGTTATTTCCACCAGAGTTCACACTGGGAGCCATGATTGTGTGTCACGTTGACAAGGGGCAGACTTGCGATGGCTATTTTTGGTTGTCAATCTGACTACATCTGGAATGAACTAAAACCCCCAAATGGGTACACCTGAGAGATTTTTGCTTAATTTGAAGGAGGACGATCCATTTCTTTGGGGGTGAGGTTGGAGACAGGGTTTCTCTGTGTAGCCCTGGCTGTCCTAGAACTACCCCCAGTAGACCAGGCTGGCTTTGAATACACAGAGATCCACCTGCCTCTGCCTCCTGAGTCCTGCTGGGTTAAAGGTGCCACCACTGCCACCTGGCAGAAGCTCCTCTTCTACTCTGGATCTTTGAGGTGGGAAGACACTCCTCTGATCTGGCCCACACCTTCTGCTGGAAGCCTATACAAGGACGTGAACTAGACCCTTTCCCTGGCTGCTCTCGCCTTGGTAGCAAGTCCGTTCCTGCACTGGCATTAGAGCCGACTTCTTTGGGATTCTGGCATCTGCTGAAGACCAGCTGGGACACTCAGCCTCATGGACTGAGCAATGGATTCTTGTCTTCCATTCATAGGCAGCTATCGTTGGATCAGCTGACCACAGCCTGCAATCATTCTAATAAACCACATTTCTATAGAGAGATTTATCCTATAAGTTGTTACTCCAGGGAACCTGACTAATACAAGAACCAATAGTTTATCTGGCTGCCCTATAGAGAGCATCAGTGAGGGGTTCCTTACCCTATAGAGCACAGGTGAGGGGGTCCCTTACCCTATAGAGCACAGGTGAGGGTCCCTTACCCTATAGAGCACCGGCGAGGGGTCCCTTACCCTATAGAGCACAGGTGAGGGGGTCCCTTACCCTATAGAGCACCGGCGAGGGGTCCCTTACCCTATAGAG